GTGCACTACTGCTACTAGTGGTGAGAAAGTGTATTGCACCTTATTTAAAATCAATGCGGTCCCACCACGGCCCTCTGTGGCCCAAAGTTAAAAACTGTTGTTATTTTGAGGTCCTCAAGGTGGCGCTCACAGCCCACAATTGGGCCGCGGCCCATGGGTTTAGAACCTCTGCTTTAAAACACATTTATCCTGATCCAGCCACTTGTGTTTAAAGGGTTGTTTCCCGCAGCTTCAGTGCTTCTGCCTCAGCACCGTCAACTGTAATCACATTTATTTGCCCAACATAATCCCACTTCTTTCTCCTTTCTGTTGAAGMTGATAAAGCACTACGAGGTCAAGCCCGACCCAGCTGGGACCACYGTGAAGCCCATCACCAGAACCCTGCTCTGCCCCGCCACACCCATCAACCTGCAGTTCCTGGACAGACGAGCTGAGCCGACAGCAGCGGTTTYTCCATGAGCTGCTTCACATTCAGAGTGTTGCCCTCTTTGTCAACAGCCACGTGTTCCTGCAGAGCTCCCAGCAGGACGTCACCGACAGGACAGGAAAGTAGCGCTGCATGAGGCAGGCTGAACAGGACGGTGCAAACGCTTCAACTGTCTCTTTATGTAAATACAGCTTCTTACATCTTTAACTTCACACATTTCTGTTCTTTTAGCTTCTAACAGCCAGAGTTAAGGACAGAAAGGCTCCTCTCTGTTGTCTTTCTTTGAGTTCTGTAAACTGCAGCGATGCTTCAGCCCTCGTGCTTTTTGTGGAGTTTATAAAACTCATAACGATGCCCTTTTTTCAGCTGCGTAAATACTTTACATGTAGCTCCACAGATATCAGATATACTGTATTTATAATATGATCATCATTTCTTTAACTTATAAAGCATTAAAAATCTAATTATCAATAACCCATGTATAAAACTAACACCACTACTTTATGGATGATTTTTAGGCTAAARTTTCTAGTATTGAACATAAATAAATACAGTAATTGATGCTTACGCACAAAACAGTTGTTTGCCTTTGTCTGTACTCAAAACATTTATTCATAAAGGTTAGTCATTGCACTAAATTATTCAATTCAAATAAAAAAAATTTTCATTTCATTAAAAAATACTATATACCAGGGCTATTCAACTGGCGGCCCACAGGCCACATCCGGCCTGCGAATGACCAAAGTTCGGCCCGCCAATCGGTTCACTCATCTCGTAAACCCGAACCCCAGGTTTCTACTTTAATTACTCTAAGTTCTTTTAGTTAAACATAAACATGTTTAATATCTACAGAAATGTCAGAATCTTGGCTACAAACTGGTAAAAAACATTTCTATAAACACTAAAGACAGTTAAAACTACAAGCAGT